ACCGCCATGCCGGTCGCATTGTGCGGGGTCAGGTTTTATAGTGGACCAGTTTCCAGTGCCGTGCAGAAGTGTATTTTTAAATCAATTTCGAACTGCCCTTTTTGATTTTTTCTTTACAAAATTGTATTTGTAAGTGTCCCCTGTACATTCAGAATTTTTTTTTGGATAAGTTCTGAATCACCCTGTATATTTTCTCGCTGGATCAACATGGTTTTATTAACAAACTTAGCTTGTATATCTCAATTAATTTGTGAAACCATGGATTGCATTGTCAAGACAATATGATGTTTCATGCAAGGGCTTTGGTCAAGTCGATCCTTATGTATGGCTTAATAAACTTGTGTTAGGTTGACTAATAATCTTATTAAGTTTATTACATCATATCTAACAGATAGATAGTTTTAATTCGTTCAGATTTGATGCAACTCAGGAATCTAATTTAGGACCCTTGTTACATATTTATTAATGGTTTCACCCAACATTATCTCTTCTTGAAAACTTTTCTTTTACTACTATTAGCAATACTAATTAGAAATAATAAAACATTTCATAAATTCGTATTATTTTTTGATTAGGTACCTACAACTTTTTTTAAATTATTGATTAAAAAAGAATGTTGGATATTTTGTGCTATATTGACTTTTATATAATTGTACTACTAGAAATATAGGATTTGCCTACCCAACTGCTAGTATTCACCACAGGATTGGCATAGGGCTTCAATTCCAGCATTCTTTGCCAAATAATCTTCCGCCACGGTAGATCATCTTCTTCACCATTATGTCTTTTTACTCATATCATATTTGCTAAAGCAGGGCAAAAGTCCTTGTCCGCAGTGAGGTGTCCAATGCCAAAAAACAAGCAATCCGGTTTAGATTTTTTCCAAATGTGTTTCTTCCAATTAGTTAAACAATCACCTGGTCCTTTTTGACCCGATCAAGTCTGGGTTCAGGTCAATTCAAGGTTAAATGTAGAGAATCAATTGCCAACAAAGTAAACCTATATATGTATTCGTTTTTGGGGTTGCTGTATCCGAATTCAGTACCCATTTGATCCGACTTGCTCTGGGTTCAAGGTCAATTGTACGGAATTAATTGCCGACAAGGTAAACCAATACATCTATACGGTTTTGAGGTCGCTGAATCCGAATCGGGAGTCTGTTTGATCCGATCAGGTCTGCTAAATATTCTCAAGGTCTAAATTGGAAACACTCAATTTAAGTATTTACGCGTATTAAAATTTAAGTAAGAAGAATGAAAGTTTTAACTCTGAGCTCGTGACTCTCGAGTTAATTGTTTTGACATGACAAAATTCTGCTAACAATAGGCCTAATTAAGTAAGCTTTTCAAGATTCTTGCCTTGATGGCACGCATGAAATCACATCTCACTATTATGGTATGAAGACTACTACTCACTTTTGTGGTACCGAAATATTTTGTTGTCAAAAGATCTGCGAATTAGATTTCGTTTACGTCTTCACGATTTCAATGGTAAATATCGTCTTAACGACCCCCAGTAATCGACTAACATGTGTATATCCCATCTACCTTGATACCGACGCCCCATTTATTTAATATTACTTAGAGAACCAATTGCCAATTTGACCTTAAACTGACCTTAACTCACACTTGATCGGGTCCAACGGACACCGAATTCGAATTCAGCAAACCCAAAAACGTATAGATATGTAAGTTTAGTTTGTTGGCAGTGGTTTCTCTACATTTAACCTTGAACTGACCTTAACCCAAAGCTGCTTAGATCAAACGAAAACCGGATTCGGATTCAACAACTCCAAAAACATATACGGGGTGGTCCGAATTTTATGCAGGAAACTTCGAGGACAGATAGATCTCTTTAAAATAACAGGAGTTTACCTTATAAACATAGGTCTGGAACAGCCTCGTTTTAGAGATACAGGGTGTTGAAGTTGTTAAAAAAAATATATTTTTTGTTTATATCTCAGGAATGTATTAACCGATTTCAATAAAATTTGGTACAAATAATGTACGATAGTAGGCCTTGCATTCCCTAAAATATGAGCTCTAAAGGTTTAACCAGTGGTGTACAACTGGACAGGGGTCACCCCCTTTTTATAAAAAAAACCTACGCCACTGTATTTTTTACAAGTTATTGTAACGGATTTATATTCTAATGCACTACATAAGTAAAAAATGTGACCTGAATTTTTTCCCTAAGGTTCACCATTTTCAAGTTATTCATACAAATACAATCCCCTTGTGGCAGACACTTCAATCATAATATTACAAAAATATTTATGTTTATGCATAAAAGTAAGTGCAATTTGTAAGCACATCAACAAAATTCTTTCCACATCACTTGTGAGGTAGTGTTCCTGGTGTGTTTTAGTTTTCCCTGGAGGCATTATCTTTACAAATAAGAACAATTTAAATCAAAATAATAATAAAAATACATGTATTTTACCAAGCAACAACAACTAAACAAGAAACAAAATTAACGTTAAGTATTTACAGCAATTGTTTAAAATTCGAACCACCCACATCGATACATTTCTGACATTTTCTATTAATGGAACTAATTGAAGCTAATATCATGTGGTGGTTTTCTTTTAATTCATTACACCTGTCTTCTATTCGCTGCATTAGTTGTGGTCTAGTATCTATTGGAGTAGAGTAAACTTTTCAAGTAGGTCACCCCAAACATAGAAGTCCAGGGAGTTTAGATCTGGCGATCTGGCTGGCCAAGACACTGGACCCTCGGCACCATTATGGTTGACATTGGCATTTGGTCTTCTACCTATCCATCATCTCATATAATTTTCATTAAGCCATTCTTGTATTATTCTCCTAAAATGCGCAGGAGCACCATCCATTTGTATCCAGCTATTTTGTCGTATATTTAATGGAACATCCTCTAATAATTCAAATAGATGGTTTTCTAGAAAGTTTAGAAATGACTCCGAATTTCATGAGGATTTTCTTGTGACCAAATATCCAGATTGTGAAAATTCACTACCCCTCGCCTTGTGAACGTAGCCTCATCGGTCCAAAGTATTTCTAGTAAGAATTCAAACAACCACTGATAAAAATTCAGGCGTCTCTCTGCATCTCCCGGAAGTAAATTTTGCACAGGTTGTAAATGGTACGGATTTCTGCCATCCTTACGTAGAACTTTTCAAATTTTCGATTTACTCACCCCAAGTTGCCGAGACGTTCTTCGTGTACTTACCCGAGGATCGTCGTCAAATGCTTTTAAAATTTCATTTCTGTGCCTTTCATTCCTTTGTCGTGATTTTCCAAATATTGTTTTAATCCAAAAAGATGAAAGCGATGAGTGTAAAGAATTTTGTTGATGTGCTTACAAATTGCACTTACTTTTAAGCATAAACATAAATATTCTTGTAATATTATGGTTAGAAGTGTCTGCCACAAGGGGATTGTATTGGTATGAATAACTTGAGAACGGTGAACTTTAGGGAAAAAATTCAAGTTACCTTTTTTACGTATTTTGTGCATTAGAATATAAATTCGTTACAATAGCTTGTAAAAAATACAGTGGCGTAGGTTTTTTTTTAAAAGAGGAGGTGACCCTGTCCGGTTGTAAACCACTGGTTGAATCTTTAGTGCTCATATTTTAGGGAATACAAGGCCTACTATCATACATTATCTGTACTAAATTTTATTGAAATCGGTCGATGGATTCCGGAGATATAAACAAAAAATCAATTTTTTTTAACAACTTCAACACCCTGTATCTCTAAAACGAGGCCGTTCCGGACCTATGTTTATAAGGCAAACACCTACTATTTTAAAGAGATCTATCTACCCTCGAAGTTTCCTGCATAAAATTCGGACCACCCTGTAGACACCATGGTCTTGTCATTTTTTGTGGGGTTGTGTAATTCTACAGATACTAGATTTATAACTACTGTATTCATATAAATATTACTTAATCACCTATTTAAATTTTATAAACATCACCATAAAACTGCTATTCCATAAACAAATTAATGTGTATTTATTTTATCATTTGTAGCAATTTCAAGAATTTTGTTATTAACTTTTTATGTGGCATTATTAAAAAACTTATTTATAAGAACTTTCTCAGAAACATTTAAATACTCGTATGTCTTCCCGTGCAACAAACTATTTATATTTTTCCTGCAAAAAACAAACTTCTGACGTAGATATGGAATGTCTCTATAACGACTAAAAATATTCATAGTCATATATCTGGAAATTTTACTTTTCTTATATAAATAATACTGAAAATTAATTTAAATTCTAGGAAATTATTGAGGTTATTATTAATAGTTAGTTGGAGCAATGAGCTTTACCTAATTAAAAATAAAAAAATGATTATCGTATTAAGATTATAAACAGAAGACGATAATATGATGTCAAAAGTATTAATTTATCAATCAAATATTTCAAGGAATAGGAAACAAAGAAACTTACTACTATTTGAAAATTATATTGGTTTATCTATGAAATTAAAGTTATGTGGTAAAAATCATTTTTAAAATACATGCGTCTATTAAATTAAAGCTATCTCTAGATGGTAAAAATCATTTGAAAATCATTTGAATGCAAAATTCTAAAAAAGAATTGAACTTGAATTGGAAGTAGGTTTGTATTAAAATTATACAGTTATTGGCATTATCTATTCGATTGTTTAGATGTAGGAGGTCACTAGAACTAGAACATGAACATATGGTGATGAATGAAACATAAAATTATTATTATTTTTTTTATTGAAAAAAATCATTACACAACTTGTGGGGACATTATTATTATTCATATACAATTATATTAGTGTGTAGTAAAGAAACTTGATTCAACTCGTGGATATCGTGAAAGTTTTGGCTCAAAGTCTGCTAAAAGGTTTCTAATATACAGTACTGTATATAAATTATGATTTGATAAATTACGAGCAAAAAATTTAGGAGTGAATCTACTCATAAAAATAATAGTACCAAGTTCACGTGACATTTTTTTAAAAGCTCAATATTAACGGAGTTACATAACCCCAAAAATTGATTAATAAATTTGTCTTAAGTTTTCTTTAATTTAAAGTTTTTTCTCTTTGGTACCTACACTTATTATTGACAACAAACTGCATCTGTGAAAAAAAAAAAAACATTTTAGAGCTCTAAATGGTCAAATGGTCGTTATAATAACTTTTTATTCGCGATAATTAAAAAAAACAGCTTAATATTAAAAGTCAACAAAAATTCTTAACTAAAGTCTATAACTATAAAGGTATTTCCTAGAGAAAAAACGTATTTATGATTAAAGTTTTTCAATCGTCTCTTGTCTTGAATTCTAAACAAAGAACTAAATTAAATATCTGCATACCGGGTAGGAAAGTACCGATGGTCTATCTGAAGTTACGTGAGAGTGATAAAGCCATAGAAATCCATGCGATAGAGAAGGATGGTTATAATGAAGGCATCTCATAGTCACCACCCGTTTCGCCCTTCCACAAATAAGATCCACTTCTTATTTGTGGAAGGGCGAAATGGGCGGTGACAATTAGACACCTTCACTATTACCCATCCTTGTCTATCACATGGATTTCTATGGTTTACATTATCACTCTCAACTTCAAATAGACTATCGGTACTTTCCTACCCGGTATATGAAATAACAAGAAGGAATGCTACAGTTATTCTGTAAATAAAACATACTTTTCAATATGACCTGCTCTACTTTTATATACAATGGTAGATTTTTTATACGCAACACCTGCAAAAATTGCGTAAATATTTATTCTACTTGAATTACAGACATTTATAAGTAAACTATGCCAAGTACTTATGTTATAAAATACATATTCATAAAATATGGATAACACCACATTTTCAATAATAAATAATAGAATAAACCGTATTGTATCGCATCAAAAGTTAATATAAAATTTAAAAATCTGTAAATTTCTTAACGGATAGTGGATATTAGTATGGAATTCGAATCGTTGCAAAATTAAGATAACGTATTCAAAATTAAACACAAAAAATCTATATTTTTTTTGTTGTTACTGAAGAGGCTTTGTCTATTTCTGAAAGACATATTTCACTTACTACATTTCGGCTCCCCAAACTTTCTTTTCTGTGTATGCTACTGCTTTATTATAGAAGATTTAGGATTCGGTTTCAACCAGTCTATTTGAAAGGAAACATTATTTTATAGCAATACTGTAAAGATATTTTAGCAGTAGTATAATAACCTCATTACAATGTGCTGTCGTTTTAAAGTCTTAAGGAAAAATAAAAAGGAACACATGATATTTCCATTTATTTTTCAGAATAATTTTTTTAAGATTTGCAAAAAAAATAACAACGACACGCGGTGTTCCCAAGCGGTCACCCATCCAATAGTCCAAGCATTATAGAGAAATGCTTACAGAAATTATTACCTGGACAAAAAAAATATGACCGTATAGAAAATTAAATTTTAAATTGAGTTTCTTTTACTTTAAACTCGATCCAATATGGCGAACATGGTTAAAAAAAATCGCAAAATTGAAAAAAACGGTTTTTCGAAAATAACTAAAAAAATATAGCACGGATTGAAACATTTTAAATGAGAAAGTTGTAGGTTTCAAAAAGATCTATCCACTGATGTTTTGAAAGTATCGATTGCTTTGTTACTTTTCGAGATATATCGAAAAAACCGTTAAAAATCTTCTCTTTTCTCTTCTTCTATAACTCGTTTACATTTACATGCCCATATTTGCTATTTACTACAAGCATAGCCTGCGGCAAGCCAAAAAAGTACATTTTTGAAAAATTTAAAAATATTAATTATTTTTCGAGATATATCGATTTTTTGAAAAAAAGGCGCTCTCGAAAATTGGCTAAATCTTCTCAGCGGATAGCCCTACAGTAACGATGTTTGGTTTATTTTCTTCGTAAAGAGTTATATTATCATGCTGTTAAAAAATGTTGACGATTTTATTAATTTTAAGGATAAAAAATGACTTTGAGAAAGTTGCACTTTTTTGGGTATGTTTTTTTCAAATTACTATTTCAATTTTTATTTTATGAAAATGACTTTTAAAGAAAGAAAACTAAACATTAACGGGTCTATTTTGCTTCTAATGCGAAAATGCTATAATATTCGTGTTTAGCTACCCCAGATTAAGTACAAAAAAATAATAAAAATTGAAATAGTTATTTGAAAAAAACATACCCAAAAAAAGTGCAACTTTTTCAGTCATTTTTTGATCCTTAAAATTAATAAAATCGTCAACATTTTTTATCAGCATGATAATATAACTTTTTACGAAGAAAATAAACCGAAAATCGTTACTGTAGGGCTATCCGCTGAGAAGATCTAGCCAATTTTCGAGACCGCCTTTTTTTCAAAAAATCGATATATCTCGAAAAATAATTAATATTTTAAAATTTTACGAAAATGTACTTTTTTGGCTTGCCGCGGGCTATGCTTGTAGTAAATAGCAAATATGGGCATGTAAATGTAAACGAGTTATAGAAGAAGAGAAAAGAGAAGATTTTTAACGGTTTTTTCGATATATCTCGAAAAGTAACAAAGCAATCGATACTTTCAAAAAATCAGTGGATAGATCTTTTTGAAACCTACAACTTTCTCATTTAAAATTTTTCAATCCGTGCTATATTTTTCAGTTATTTTCGAAAAACCGTTTTTTCAATTTTGCGATTTTTTTTAACCATGTTCGCCATATTGGATCGAGTTTAAAGAACAAGAAACTCAATTTAAAATTTAATTTTCTATACGGTCATATTTTTTTTGTCCAGGTAATAATTTCTGCAAATTTAACATTAATCCATGACAGAATGCTTGGACTACAAGTACTATTAACCGCGCCCGACGATGCTTGACTTCAGTGATCGGACGAGAACTGGTATTTTACATCGTGGTATGGCCGTTGCCAATAAACTGTTTGAAGTTTTGGAAATATAAATATAAATAATATAAATTTGAAAAATATATTTTTTTAAATTGCCTGATACAAGGTGTTTTCAAAGTTGAGTCATTTAGGTATTTTAACAGCTGGTAGAACTCGTAAAAAAAGTCGATTTACCAAAAATCGTCTACATAAAAGTTGTAGAAGAATAGTTATAATAATTTGTTCAAAATTTTTACCATTTCTTTACCATTTATATTTTTATAAGGCATTGGTCGAAAATGACAATAAATCAAATTTGTATTACAAAGTTTTTAAATTTCTATTTTTTTAAAATAATTGTTAATTAATAAACTTAGTGAAAATATCTGAATAATAGATTTCAGTTACCTATACTAAAATAGTAACATACAAAAACTTAAGCTGTCAAATATATTTCAAATAGGAATGTCATTCTTAGTCTTGAGAACGAACTCAGATTTATTTTTCTAAACGTTAACTAGCTGTAGTGCCTGGTTTCTTAGTAATGAGTATTATTTTATTTTTTATATCTGATTTTTTCAGTGTAATATTTTTAGCCAAACATGGGTTCATCAAATAACCCTTGAATAATTCTTTTGGTGCAAGTGTTTGATCAATTACCTTTTTATTTTTTATTCACATGTTACAAAATACTCTAACAAATAGAGAAAAAAACTTTGCCACAAATAAATAACATCGGTATTCAAAACAAAATAATGACATTATTCAATGCGTTTTCTTGCTTCCCCCAGAAGTCAAAACGTATTATCGTAATAAAACGTAATAAGAAAAATGCAAAACTGGCTGACATTTAAATAATTGATTACATACTTTAATAGTTAATTGCTACACGCGTGGTAATAATTATTAATGGTATTAGCCATTAGGATAGCTGTTACGTAAGTTCAAAATGGAAAACAGATTATATCGCAAAATTTCCGTAAGTGAATGTTTTAAGAGAACAGGAATGGGAAAAATATAAATAATGAGATAGCCTAAGGAAGCGACTTACCCTTATCGCTGTTGTTTTGCCAGAAGAGGCGCCTCTCGAAGAAGGTTGTGCCCAGTGGATGCAGTCGCTTGCAGAACACTACATGCAAAGAGAAGTAATCCAAAAAAAATGTTTCCAAGCACTAGGAATATGCATGAAATGCATTGAAAGCACATAACAATGTCACAAGATAGTATTTGTTCAGCGGCGACCAAACGAATCAATTGGATTTTGAAGAATTAGTAAAAAGTGTCGCAAAGAACTACCTCATTGACAGAACAAAAAAGCAAATAAATAAAAGTAGTTTTCAGTTTTTACATTGTAAAAAAATCGGTGTGAGTGAAAGCAATAAAGGTACAGATTGAATCCATTGAGTGAAATTATTGTGTACATTTTCACTCAATATTGGGCATTTTGATCATTTTACTCAATTGCAATATAGGTACTTCTTAAATAAATTCTTGACGTAGACTCGTATTTGGTGCACTTGTACATAAATCAGAGTAAATGTCCTCATTACTTAGTGAGTTTAAATGTATATTAATTTCGAATAATTTGAATGGCGCCGTGAAGATGGTACCACTTACTTATTGCTGCTGTAATCTCGACCATAGTTGATAAGTGTCCGTTAGATGCTCCAGAAAAGCGTGATCGCTAGGAGAACAGTCCTTATCCGGCGGCGGCGGGTCTCAGCTGACGAGTCTCAGCCTCAGCCAGAACAGAAAGACGCCCCGCGAAGGGCGCGTAGTGAATTAATTTCAACACTGTATATCCTAATTAATCATTTATGAGTGATTTATTTTTGCACTCAATATTTAGTTAATTAAAAACCAAGTCTGAGTAATCGTCATGTTAGATAAAAAGTCAACTCTAAATTGGCTTTATATACAAAGAATAGAGTTAAAAGTCGCTCAATTAATAGCTAGCCGTAATTCGGATTTGAGTACAGTGTAACATCAGTAGAAACATTTAGACAAAATGATTATAAATAGTAATTATTAAGGGCTAACTGTAATTAAAACTAACAAGTAATCAAAATATTTAATTAGAAAAACTAAAAATTACGTGATATCTCATATTACTTCTGGCAGCACTCAACTAGTGATGTTAAATTACTTGTAATTTATGAAAATGTAATTTTACTGGTAACATTTCATGTAATTTACAAATTAGCTTGTAATTTATGTAATTTATGACATTTAAATTTTACGACATTTTAAAGTGTACTCGGCTTGTTTAGCTTCTCAGTACTCAGCTTCTATAAAACTAATCCTGCAATTCAATGATTAAAAAATAATATTTGTCGATTTTTAAGCAAAAAAATTAAAATTTTTATTCATATAAGTAATATTCATATAAGTGCAGCAGTAAAAATAAAATAAATCAAATCTAAATACAAATATTTAGGTTTCTATGTAAAGCAGCTTTCGTTTCTTTAAGCATTTGTTTTTCCGGGACATAGGCCTTTTTTGGTAGAATGTTAATTACAATTAACAGTTCTTAATTCTTCAGTAATTAATTCTTCGTCGTTTATTTCTGTTTCCTTTTCTACCTCTTTTGTTCTATCTATTTCTGTCAGTTCGGTCTTTGCATGGTCAACCTAAATTTTAGTCAAAATTATGAACTAAAAATGCAACAACGAAAAACAAACCTTTTCAAGTGAAATATTTTGTATAATAATAACACGCCTTTTTTCATTACATTTTGCCTCAAATCCTTCATTTCTTTCAGGTAATACCTTATTCTTATTTTACATTGACAATTTATTGATGAATTAATTCATGAAGTCGCTTCATCAAGAAATTGGACAAGTGTAATGCTTGGTGCATTACACTTGTCGAATTTCTTGTCTACTGTCAAATAACTTCATGAATTTATTCATCAAGTTCTTGACGAATTAGAACATGCTCTAATTTTCGTCAATTTCTTCGTGAAGTTCAGAAGTACCAACCCAACAGATTTCCTGCCTCAGATAAGTAATGAGGTTATGTTATTGGAATATGTAAATAATTGTGTGGCGTCGTACTAGTTTTGCATTGTTTTTACTAATTTGTTACTTACAAAAACTAATGTTTATATGATATATGTCAAAACGGTACCGCTGTTGTGTCACTACAATTATGAGTGGAAAGGTGACATTTTTTAAGTTTATTTGCTTCTTTGATTTGTTGGTAGAACTGATTTATGCGTAAAAAAACTTGACAAAGTCTGTAGCAGTGTAAAACCACACTGTTTACCAATAAATTCGTGAATTAATTCATGAAGAACTTCGTTAATTCATTCATGAATAAATTGTCAATGTAAAACAGCTATTAGAGCTTGTATAATGCTGGTGCTCTTCCTCACTATCACCATACTCTTCAGAATGAATGCTAATATTGCTAAACTAAAAGAAAGGTTATAAAATCTTAAATGTCAAATTTGAAATTGGCGCGATATTTAAAATTAAGTGTAAATTAACATTAATTACAGTAAATTACGTAATTTACGTAAGTTACAAAAATTACATAAATTACATCCGTTATCTCGCGGTGCGTAATATTACGGTAATTTTACAGTAATTTGTGTATGTAACAATTTGTCATTTTACCATTTACATCACTACACCCACCTGGTTTCAAACAGCTGGAAAAGCTAAATATCCACTCAAATTATATCACAGACAGCTTGTCTGTATTTAAATATATTCATATGTTATATTTGTGTAACCTTGACGACTTGAGAACCATACGCTATGCTATTAACGTTTTAATGAGGCCCTGACATTGACAGTGAAAATATTGGAACGTGGTTTAAATAGAAATAGCTGTAGTACAAAACGAACTTCATAATAGTATAGGATAGTTTATGATTCCTACGCTTCAGATGAATCCTAAAAAAAAAAGTAACTGAAGTAAATAAAAACGAAAAATAGATAAAAAAATTATATGCCATGTCATGCGTTTGAATAAGTTTTATTTTTCTATGCATAAAAGAATAATTTATATGTAATCTTAAAATCACTAAATCCTTTATGGAAGGGTGTGGTATTACAAAATATTTTAATCATATTGCCTTGAACCAAATAAAGACAATAAGTGGCTTGTTTTACTACAAGATATACTTATGACAAAACTCGTTATTGTTCTAGGAAATGTTTATCAACATCGACAAATAATTAGCGAAATTGTTATCTTTTTATCTTCACAAAACTAACTCATTTGCCTCAACAAAATGTACATATACAATATTATTGTTAGTATTACGAAGCAGAAACAAACAATTTCAAAGAAAATCAAATATAAAAAAGCAGCTAAATTAAAAATTTGATGGAAGTCATCTTGAATAACAAATATATAATAACCCCTAAATAAAGTGTAAAATGGATGTTATTGTTGGTATTGTTGGGTCATTCGCTAGAAATGAAGAGGGTATATGAAACAAACATCAAAGTTACAGTTGTCAATAAAAACAAGTAATAGGTAACTCACCGGGGGGTTACACTCCCCCCTACCTAACTTTAGGATTCAAGGTATATCCTTCCATTAATTAGCAAACATGTATCATTCGTCACCTGAAATAAGTCGAGGCTCCCTCGGACGCCAACTAGTTAGCATCCCAACTACCAGGTGTGTGAGTCATATAATATTCTGTCACCTACCTCAACACCACCCAGTATGTGTCAATCGAAGCGCAGGTAAGACCCCGTAGAACTTACAAGGCACACTTCGAAGTCGAAGGACCTACAGCCATTAAGACCGGGAACACGTAGCGCGCCTTAGGGTTTTCAAAAACATAAACGAGTATGTCAAAAATTCACAATTCATTAAATAAACGTATTGAAGCTATCTCACAGATATTAAAATCAACCTTATTCGATCGCTGGCCAGGCACCACTGTCACAAAGAACAACTTCTCTTAGTTTCGGCATAAATTACATTATCTCAAGGGCAAATAAACACTTGGCTGGCGCATTCCGTATGAACAGCTGAGGTTTGATTCAAAGCAACCACGATAGTTTTCATTTCATAATAAAATATATATTGATTCGTATTATTACAATACTTAAAAAATTAATAAGTGTTACAAAAGTTAATTTCCAGTATAACTGGAAGTGCAGTCTATTGAATTAAATGAAATTTTCAGAAAAATTAAACTTCCAGGGAAAAATACTGAGCATTTCATTTTTCGTTTTAATTTTTTAGTATTTTCATTAATAACATTCGAAGGTACAGTTGAAAATAAAAAAAATGTGTTAGGTTAGGTACACTGAATATCATTCACAATAACTACATTTCCTATTTCTTCTTTACCATACGACTCTAATTGCACTGACGCGTGTATCTATAGAAAACTAGAGAAAAAACAATATTACTACACCAAGAGCATTATTGCGTGTTATCGATAATTCAATTTCAACTAAGCGCGTTTTATTCATAAACTGTACTTAATGCACGAACATGGTTCTTGAAATATGAGCAACCAAGGTAATCTGCTATCGCTTTTGCATAATATCTGGAAGAGGAAAAGATGCAAGTCGTGAAAAGTTGTTATTCCCAAGATAATATTTTATATTCATGCTTAGTTGCGCTACCCTTAGAAGCTAGAAGTTAATTATTGGTCATTTTTTCACAATGACAAATGATAAATTACTCCAAAAATAAAATAATAATAAGTGATAAACATTGAGTTAAATAAAAATTTTTAAAGGAGTTGTTATGAACTTTTCTTTATCTGACTGAGAAAGGTGATTAATCGTTCATGAATTCACTAAAAAGACATTGACACGTTCTACTATCAAAAAATCAATCAAAAAGGAAAAAAGTTCTGTTGAACTCAACTTCAAAAGTTGGGGAGTTTTACTCAACATTTCCGAGACTTATACTTGTAAAAAAAGCACCACTAAAATCTTGCCTCTAAAGGATCAGTCGGGTCATTTTTATAAAATCAGTTTTGCTAATCAGAAATTTCACACTGAAAGAACAAATAAATAAAAAATGCTCATTACTAATTAATTGAGCTGTGAAATTTGGACATGGTATGGGTGTACCACGTGCAATCTACCTCTCTCTATTTTTCATTCAGTACACTCTGGAGTGTTGTCAATTAAAAAGATGTCGTAGCGCACATTCACGCTATTGTAGCGTTAATAGATGAAAATATGTACAGAGTGTTTGTACTTCCATGATACATCATGCGAATATTTGCCTTTACGTAGAAGATTATGATGAAGAAGATGACACAACAAATAACTCCGGAAGTTATAGACAAAGTTCAAGAAGAGTTTAGTGCTAGTCTTTCCCACTGAGAGCAGTTAATTTAAAAATCTGTTGTACTTGGGTTGTTAAAAATACCTTTTTTGTTGAAATTTTAGTTTTTTTTTTAACTTTGGCACTATACAAAATTCTATTACCTAACCTAATTGATATGGTTGAATACAAGACATATCTCATGACCGACATTTGTATTTAAAAAAACATCCACGACGCCATCACTGTCGCACATACAGTATACAGTGTGTCCAATTAAGTCGGCACCATATGGGAAACTTTTTTATTATTGGTTTTATGAAAAAAAGTTATTCTTAATAAAAAGTTCTGCATGGCTTAAAACCCAAAATGAAGTAATCAATTTCAATTTTTTGCGTCTTATTGCGTCTACCATTAAAAAACATATTTTGTTATTTTCACATTGATAATAATTTACGTCTAGAGATCGACATTAAATCTAGGATGCACTGACAAAACAATGAATTCAATACTATAAATGTTTTATGATTTGTAACATTAAATCATAATTTATTTGTTTATTTACTAGTATGTTTATATCCAAAAATTATTAAAGATTGTTTTTAATGGTAGGTGGAAAATATTGGATATCTGACAGTAGTTTTTTATTGGGATCTACTTTTCTCAATACCGATTGTAGATATTGTAAAAAATAAAGGGGTACTTTACTCTTGAGCAAAATTTACATTTTTCAACAAACGTCGTATGCAACTGCAAAAAATATAAATCTAATTATATCATTTTGGGTTTTAGGTCATGCAGAACTTTTTATCACGAATAACTTTTTCTCATAACATCAATAATAAAAATAGTATCCCATATGGTATATGGACACATTGTATTTAAAACAAATATCTCGCAGAACGTACTTTTAAAAATAAGAATTTTAATTATGTTATAGCTGCAATCAATGTCGGTAAAACAAGGATCACTGCTGTACCTACTATTCCGGTTTGCTCTGTTATAAAACTATTCTTCTTTCCATTGCATTGGTTTGGTAAATCGATACAGTTACAGTATTTAAACAAATGAAAAAAAAAAAACAATTACCAAAACAACATGTAATTTAAATTATTTTGTTCCTTCCTTCCTACATCCAGTAGAAAGTGATTTCCAAGTAAATATTGCTTAATTCAAACTTTCCATAAACTAAATCTCGTTGAATTGCGCAATAATATATAAAAGAACTCATAAAAGTATACATTTAGTAGTTCAATGAAACTGTCCAGATTTTTTATTCTCCTCCGCATTATACAGGGTAATAACTGATCCATGTAATTAGTCGTTCGCTCTTTAATGGTAGCGTCACCTTGAAATCGAGAGTAATAAGACTTTTTAAATTAACTCGAGGGTACGGTGTCTGCCTCAAGAACGAGTGAAATGTACACAACGAACTGAAATATAAAGGTTATAGGAAAATTAAAGTAACGGTAGGTTAGTTTAAGGCTGTATCCGGTGTGGTCAAGTGAGAACTGTTTTGTGAAGTCAATTTGTGAGATGCAACCGATTTAATAAAAAAAAAACGAAAGGAAAAACATATGTAAGTAAATTTTTCAATTAGGATCTATCAAGTTGTATAGCTTGAAATAAATTTTATTCAATTTATTACTTGACTTAATTGCGTATCATTACTATTTGACTTGATTTTGTGTCTCTACGGGTTGACTTAATTTTTAACTTTTATAAAAAGCGAAAACTCGAGTAGCAGAATATTTTTTGCACCTAGATTTTCCTTAATACCTAGTGATTTACCACACTGATATGATAAAACCTTTTTGGAACCGCCACTGATAGCTCTGCTTCTGTTTACACATGTTGCTTGCCTACTTGGAAACCGCTATACATAAAGACGAGCAGTTTTCATAAACGTCTTCGTATGTTACTACCGTATTGTTACATTATTACTGTATTGATGGCTACTTATTAATACATGCACCACAGACACATCTTTATACAAAAAAAAAAAGGAAAAACACGGTTAAAATAATTTGGAAAAATAAATGTCTTTACTTAAAATTTTCACAATAAAAGACACAGGTTTCTGTAATGAAAACTAAAGTAGAACCTAAAATTGGACTAGCAATTATTCTTATTTATACAAAGAACGGAACAAAATAGCAGATGACACGTTATTTATGACCACAACTATTCACCCCTTTTTGTGTAGTATTAAGTCGGGAACGATTCCAATATGTTTAGCAATTATGAATATAATTAATTTTATGCACCGTTTTGCAGTTTCAATGATTTTGTTTAATGAAAATGCTTATTTTACCTACCATTAGAAATTCTTTCTTTAAATCTAGCATAGTTTCAACTGAAACCATTTATCTCCTGAAAATTACTCTTTACCTCTTTCTTTATTCGATCCTTTTCGAATATTATGTCTCGCTATACATTTTTAGTTGTGGTTAGATTTTTCTTTATCTTGTTCTTAATTTTGTTCTTTAGTGCAAGTTTCCTTGTTGATGTTATTTTTGAAGACAAAAATCTTCTCTATTTCATTTCCTTGATCCTGATTTTATTCTTTAGGTAAACGTTTTTCTCTGTCTCAGTCCTGGTATTGTACTTTACGAATGTTATTTGTTTATTTCTTTCTATATTTGAATCTTTCTTAACAAATACATACTCCTCATTACGATGTTTCTTTACCTTATTCTTAATGTTGTCCTTTATGTGACCATTCGCCCATATTTCGTTCTTGACACTTTATTTTTAAAGGTTTTCTACTAATTGATACAAATCCTATCAGTTGGTGTCAAACGATGTTCCTGAATACTAAAAAATCCAGGAAGAGATTTTTAACTGATGATATTGCGGGAAACAATATTTTTGGTGTTAAAAAATATTATTTCGACAAAGATTTCAATGACAATTTCAAAATTAAATTTAGTTTTAATTAATATTATACAACGAATTTTCAGTTTAAAAAAAATAGCATGATGTTTAAAACCAGAAAATTATATTTTTTTATTTAGTAAACACCACATACTACAGGTTTCTTAAGGATGAGAACAAATACTGGCTCATCTCTTTCCGCTGTATATTGCAAGCTGCCAATAATTATTATAAGGCTCAAAGCATGGACTTTGTTGTTCAGAGCCGTACTCAGGAAAACAGCTAAAACAACCTAAAAACCTTTTTGTCATAAAAATAGCAGCGATGTATTTAAAAAAATTAGCCTGATGATAGCCCCTCGAAGACAAAACGTTGGATTGCAAAAATGTTGACGCCATTGGATAGAGCGAAAGAAGTGGCAATATAAATATGCTATTTATTTTCAAATTCGTTTTCAAATAAAGCCAAAAAAAATATAACGATTTTGTAAAATTTCAGGTTTTTCCGGATATTTCTGGAACTACCTGGAATTTTAAAACTTTCTATATGGCATATTATTAGTTATAAAAAACACGACATTTTTTCTTATTTGAGCCACCCCGTATCTCTTATCGTTTCCTACATCCTAATGCTATCACATCCTTATCTTGGACAAACTGTATATTACTAACATCTTAAAGATTTTATCAACCCAATTTTGGGCTCTATTAAGAATTAAATAATTGGTAAATCATACAACTCCGAAAAATGTATTAATTTAAAGATATAATTCCATAAAAGCGTATTGCATTCAAAACATGATAAAACAATGATTACTTAGTTCTTGTTAAAACTGTTAAATGATTTCAAAAATATTAATTGCTGAATTTATACAACAGAGAATTCAATAATTCCCTAATGAAAAAGTTATTGCTACGTCGTTCGAACAAATAAGTTTATATTTTCCGAATTACCTCTATTTCGGTAAACCAAATGACAAAGTATAATAATTAATTCCAAAATCAGAAAAAAAATCAATACAATTTGTATCTGCAGAACATTATTTTTATTACTACTTCTTTCCTGTTTATTAGTTTATATATTATTTTTGTTCTTTCAATGGTCTGAAAAATTCACTTCTAGAGGTTATTTATTATATAATGATAATGAAATACTAAAAGCTAGAGTTTATTTTATTATATTTTTAAATAAATTTTTGTATTTTCTCAAATAAACTTCTGATTATTTTATTTTTATCGCTTTATGTGATATAGACTAAATCAAATAAATGCAACTTTATTTAATCCATGTCTATCACTTACTACCATTTGTGAATTTAATCTATCTTTACTGGGTTAAAAAGCTCCAAACCATATTTTATTTGATAGAAATAGATGAAGCGGCAGTTAATATGCAATATGTATATAATTTTATTCCACAGAGCTAAAAATGACAACAATACCATCGACCAAAATTTAACCTTCGCATATTTTGTTAATTTGATGAATTAATAATATACGTTCTATTGATTAACAATTACAAGCTAATTACAAATGTATTGAATACCTTATCGCTACTATCCGCAATGTATGTATATCAAATAATTAGTTTTACATTATTGATAAAATTATATTAATCATGTGTAATCCAAATGCCCCGCGTATCGGAAGGGACAGAAATTAGTTTAATTTTATTACCGCAGATATTTTATTAAATGAATTTATATAAAAACAATGTTATTATTAATACGTAATAATATTTTAATGAATAGTATACCAGTAAAATATTAACCATCAGGACATATTCCTCCTGAAATCAAGATCTGAAGTAGGTGATACTTTAAAAATTTCAGTGGCTTTATCCTGGCCTGGAAACTACTCAAAATCGTTTCTTCCAACCACTTCTTTACGCTGAAATAGTACCAAAAAATATGGAAAACCTGGAATATCTCGAAAACTTTAATAAAAAAAATACTAACATGGCAAATTCAACACATAGTTTCATTTAAAGAAATAAACAAGTTAATCTTGCTCCAAATTGTGAAATTTCTAATCCGTAACTACTATATTCCTATTTAAAATTTAGGTAATAAATAAGCAATGTGATTTTTTAAAAAACACATATCTAACTCCACACACAAGATGTCTAAATGCCCACATTGCGGGAAAACTATTACTCTATTTAAAAAATAATAACCCTTCAACGACAAGATGTGAAACGGTTTTTTTGTCAGTTACTCAAGAACAAGAAGACTTTTTTGTAGTTATCCCGCAGTTATTTACAAAATATAACAAGTGTCTCAAAACTTTAGAGAAATTTCAACCGTTCAAAAATATTTGACAGATCTGGATAGATATCAAATACTTCCACACACACACAAAGTCCACAAAAATTTGTTTTAAAAATGACCTTTAATGAAAGAGGATGCTATTTATTGGTCAAAAGCACATACAAGCAGTTTATTAACCAGAGCATGTATGCATGGCCAGAGTGTGTACTTGACATAATTTCAAGGATTCCTATTGTATAGCAACCACCGCATTGCGTACACTGTATTACTATATAAGTAATTAAATAAAGTTTACGAATTTTAAAATCGCATTCTGAGTTATAATTCTTCTAAAAATTAAATATGCACAACTTTCTTACAAAGTTTCTAAAGTTTAACATACCGGTACTCTAAGGAGGCCGTACACTATCAAACTCGAGTGCTTTTAGCCAGTGCAATGCCAGTGATTTTCAGACACTAGAGTAGCAGTACCCGCCAGTGTAATACAGGGTTCAGGTGATAACCCGTTACACAAGACATTTAAAGTAATAGAAATATTTATTTAAATAATGTGGAAGTGTCCAAAGTGCGTCTTTGGTCAAACAAAAACAAATTAGAGCGTGGAACATCAACCCGAAGCAAAATTAGAATTCGCAATGGAGGAAGGGAAAAGGGAAACGTAGGAGATACTTGGGAACCCTTCATCGGCGAGCTACCGACTAATGTCCCACACGGCAGGTGAAAACGGACCTAGACATAGACGATCCATCCAGACCCTCTGAACATGCTAAGGGGTATGATGGTAGATCAAAGCCACCGTAAGCTAGTCAGACCTACATAAATCTGCAACATGGCGCTTAATGTGGGGCTATATTGTCAAACGAACAGTTGACCTACCAGGATCCGCGACAATATCATACATGATATTTATGCAAAATAATCATTAAAATTAATTTCTTTGTAATCAACCGCTTCTTGATACAATCAATTGCGCTTGGATGAATATAATGTATTTATGAAAAACAGTACAAACGAGATGTCCCATTAATATTGCGAAAAAATTCAGGGCCAGTTTCCTTGACCAAAAATAAGAAAGAAAGTTCCTATAAACCTATGTCCGAAAATGCTTTGTTTCGGAGATACAGGGTGTTGAAATTTAGAGAAAATACAATGCTTTTACTAATATCTGGAGAACTCCAATTCCGATTTTTTTGAAATTTGGTATGTTTATAAAAGCGACAGACGTATTCTGAGACGTCACTGCTTTTTCTTAGGTATCATATGTGTTTCTAATTATGCGATAAAAATACAACTTTTTTGTCTCTTTACTTTTTTGGTACCTTGCTTCGTTTTCGAGCAAAAAATTAATAGCTTAAGTGTGTGATTTTAATAAGTACTTGAACTGTGTAGTTGTCAATTCCTGCTTGTCAAAATGAATTACACAAATAGTGAAA